TTTTTTTTTTTAATTGATCTACCAGTTTTTCTTTGATCCCTTTCCTTGTTTAGTTTGATGGGTCTTGCATAAAGGACTTAATATGCATGTGTGTGTGTTCTCCAAATGTTTTTGCCTATATTTGCTTCTTTTTTTCTGTTCTAGTTATTTTTTGTATTCTATTGCCTACATCTGGGTAGCCTTTCATGGATCGGTAATTTAATTTTTTTATTAAAAAACATCTCTCCATAGTTCCTTGTGTTTATCAGCAAGTATTTCTTCTTTCTTGCATTTTATATGCATCATCAGGATACTAAACAGGTCAACATTGGAGCAAACATCTTCTCCGAGTTAGGAAAGCTTGCAAAAAACACCTTCGTTTGCAAGGTTAGACCTATTTCCCATCTTTACGTAATAATATGACTGAAAATTCCTCCAAGGAGAAAAAAAATAAAATGAAAAAACTCATTTTTTCGGCCTTATTGCTTTGTTTTTGTCCAGCTTCTTGTCAAAATGCCAGCTGCTATGCCCCTGAGCCTTCAATATGATATTTCCGAACCAAATTCAGCCTTGAGCTGGCTCGAGCGCTGGTCGATGACCCGCTTCTGGGACCCACCCACTCGATCTAAAAAGATCGCCAAACCAAAAGCCCATAAAAAACAGCCCGGCCCGCAAATTTCCGAGCCCGAAGCTGCTGGTAAATCGAAAAGAACCATCCGTAAGGAAAACATCACTTTATTAGCTTCGGAGACAGATAACAACAAACCCAGGCGCAACCCGAGCAAACTCGCTATTACCCAAACCGAGTCGGCCCAAGAGCAGCAAGCCCAAAGTGAACTCGAGAGGGTTAAACGAAACTTGAGAAAGGTTACCTCATCATCTTTGGCCGAGAAATCAGAAGCGGAGACTGAAAAGCCACAGGGTGGTGTGGAAATAGCAAAACCTCCCGATGTTCCTGAGCTGGAGATAGCAATTCCGGCCGACTCTGATGCTGTTGTTGAAACAGTAGATTTTTCTGAAACCCCCGTGCAAAACGGACCAGTTGATGATGTGAAAATTGAGACTAATGAAACTGATGTGAAAATCGAGACTGCTGTAAGTTTGGATGATGATGATGAGTCGAGCGTTAAGGAAGAAAAAAAAAGTAACAAGGACAATCAGAAGATCAAGAAAAGAAGACGATCACTGCCAGCTAAGCAGGAGTTTGCTGAAAACATCTCGCAGAATAATTCACCGAGCTTGCCGAGTTACATGGCAGCAACTCAATCGGCCAAGGCCAAGCTTCGAGCACAGGGCTCGTCCAAATTCGGGGAGGATGGGGCCGAATTTAGTAACAATATTGCTCGTCGGCATTCTCTCCCGGGACCTGCTAATGGGAAATCGAGCACATTATCGAAGCCCGTGCAAGCTAATGGTAAAGGAGGTAGCAAAACTAATGCAGCATTGACTTCCTCTAGAGATGGTAAGTCAAAGTAAACTTTCTATTTTCAACTTAATAACTATCATCATACATTTGGCATCATTTGGCCGACTAGATGGGTTTTCAATTAACCTGAGTTCATAACCAGCTATTGAGAGCTTATGAGCTCTTTGATACTCTTTTCTTTCCCACTTCTTCCAAAATCTTATAAGATCTTTAAAAAGTGCTGTTAGCTACTTAGCTTATCATCTTTTCTTTACAGAAGTGGGGTTCTAACTTTTTTTTTTTTTTCCTTTCATTAGCTCAATTTTAGCTGCATCTTCTCGTAAGATCCAGCAAGTATCCATCCAGTGGCTGAGAAAAACATAATTGACAATAAGATAACGACTTTACCAAAGTCGAGTATTTTCTCTGTCAATCTCTACATGCCTTCAGTTTTATATATCGTGCCCAATAGTCTTAACAAAATGCAAATCGGTGCTGTTAGCTACTTAGCTTATCATCTTTTCTTTACAGAAGTGGGGTTCTAACTTTTTTTTTCCTTTCATTAGCTCAATTTTTGCTGCATCTTCTCGTAAGATCCAGCATGTATCCATCCAGTGGCTGAGAAAAACATAATTGACAATAAGATAACGACTTTACCAAAGTCAAGTATTTTTTCTGTCAATCTCTACATGCCTTCAGTTTTATATATCGTGCGCAATAGTCTTACCAAAATGCAAATCATGTGAAATGTATGCGTGAAATTGAAAATGCGTCTCATTTTCAGACAAGGTGGTTCAGCCAGGTTGGAGGAGATGATGAGAGGCTTCCCAAATCTGCTCGATGACTATTCACTCGAGCTCTGCAGAGTTTGATTCGGTCTTTGTTTCAGCGTGTTTTTTGTAGGAAAAATGAAAAATGGGAATCTCATATTGTCGGTATTTTTTTTTCTCGTGTTTCGTATTTTAGTGGTGAAAGTGTTTTTTACTTTTTACCAAGGAATGTGCATAGAAGTTGTTTGGAAGATTTTGAGTCGAAGCTAATTTGGGATTTGCTCTAGTGTGCTTTGGGTTCTGGTTTATTGTGATGTTCTTCTTCTTCTTCTTCTACTGTCTTTAATGAAATCTGTAAAAACTAACGGTATCATTTTTCTTGTGTGATTTGACTTTACAAGAGTCATTCTTGTTGGCCTTCGAACTAGCCGATAAATGTACATGCAAATTTAGTGTTGTAATCGAACCGAGCGAGACGAGCTTGGGACGTTTCGAGCTCGTGTTCGTTTACATTCGTTTATTTTTCGAGCAAAAAAAATCGTGTTTGAGCTCATTCGTTTAATTGTTTGTCAGAGTTCGAGTTCGTTCGTGTTTGAATAATTCATGACATAAACTTTTTAAATATGATTAACCCGAAATTTGTTTGTTTGAACTCAAAAATAAAAATATTTTTATATTTTAGATTTTTTATTAAAATTATCATGTAAATATAAAAAAATAAAATAAAATTATATTAAATTAACGTTTGGAAACATTGTCGAATGAGTTCGTGTACGTTCAATTATTAAACGATCTTAATTTTCTGCTCGAACTTGGCTCGATTTACGAACGAACGAAATTTTGTCGTCCTACATGCAATGTGTTAAACCACCAAGTTCTTTTTATTCAAGTCGAAGTTCGATTATTTTCTGCTCGAGACTCGACGTTTAGTCCCATCAATAATCTGTGTCGATCTTTCTGCACGACATATTTCAATTTCAGTTCCCTAACTTTCTGCACTCCATGTTTAATTATTTTTAGAAAATATCTTGTAGATTTTATTTACTATTATTATTATTGTTATTATTATTATTTTATTTTTCTGGAGTTGATGTGATCAAATGTGGGGAACATTCAGAAAGCCCATTGTATATATTTCCAACTTCAAACTCCCACTAAACAAACTATAAAGTTGCACAATACACTTTGTGGTCCCTTCCCATGACTATATTTTTTCCTCTAACTCTGATTCGTTATATTTCTTTTAAATAAAAAAAAAATATGTATTATTCCTATTACGAAATGTCATATCTTTTGTTTATTTATTTTTTTTTTAAAGTATGTCGTTTCAGTTTGAAAATATGTAAATATGCAAAAAAAAAATATATAGATTTCTTACCATGAGACTTGCCTAATTGTGGCCTTACTGTTTCAACATGAGTAAGGCTGTAATAATTGGACAGAAGTGCATATATTTCAACTGAATATGATACTAAACATAACAATAATATGCATTTTTATTATAATATGAGGGAAATGCTACAGTTTCGTTACGAAATCATTCTTTTGGGATTTGTAACCATTAGATCATCATGTAACCGTCAGGAATAGTTGATGATGATTTAACAATTACAAACTCCGACAGAATGGTTCCGTAACGGGAATATAGCATCTCCTATAATATTATGGAATTTGTGAATTTACAATGTTAATTAAGTCAACACAACCTGCCTTTTACTGATTTTAGTACAGAAACAAGAAAAAAAAAAAAGAAAAAGAATATATTATTTGGCTGTTACACAATAACCCCACTCATCATTATCATATTTAATCACATTATTCTCTTCTCTCGTTGGGGAACCCTTTATTGAAAAAAAAAATAAATAAAAAAATCTGAACTTATCTTTAACCTTTATTTATTACACACCTTCAAATCAAGAAGAGTTCATGTGAGAGCTTTATACTGATATAAAATAATCAGCCTTTCTATCTAAAAACCAAAACCTTTTGAACATGTCCAATTTTTCTATAGTGTTGCTAATTAGTTTTATGTTTTTAATCCTTGGGCCTATTAATGCCACTAATAATGGGCTTGCATTTTATGAGATCAAGAAAGGTGATTTCTCTGTGAAGATCACTAACTATGGTGCAAGAATCGTATCGGTCGTTCTTCCCGACAAAAACGGTGCGTTTCGGTTCGGTTTTTTTTTTTTTCCTTCAAAATGTATATTTTTGTATTGATTGTTTTTTTTTAAAAAAAAAAATTGCAGGAAAATTAGATGATATTGTTCTTGGTTATGATACTATCAAAGAGTACACGGTATGTGTTCATTGTGTTCATATTTGCTACTGTTACATAAAATTAGTGTAAATTTTTATGTTACTTATTTTGCAGTTAATATATAACTCAAGCTTTAAATAATTTCATTTAAGTTGTGATATTCATTCATCTTTTTGTACTGTTTAATAATCCTGTGAGTTACGCTGTAGCATAATAATAAGCTACTGTAACTGATATAATTATTAATTTCAAACTATCTTAATTAAAATCGGCAAATTATATCATTATTTTATAAGTTGAGTCCAAATATTAACTATTTAAGAATAAATTTAGATTATTTTCTGTCTAATTTCTGTTTAGACAATAAATAGATTAAGATTAATCAAACTATGTTAGCTAATCCAGATCTTAATCAGTGCTCTTCCTTTGGTCTTTGTGTGGGTCATATTTTATGATGACTTTTTAACAATTTTACTATTATTCATCAAGTGTCCATCCACTTGAAATATATAAAATTAAATTAAATAATCAAAGTATTCAATGGCCACCCACTTGTGAAGACTGAGGAAGACTAATGTATGATATTTGGATAAGTGTTACAAAATTTCTTTGTTTATTCTAATTTTTAATTATATTTTCAATGACATTTTTTTTCCTTTGACTTGATCATACGAAACGATTTTAATCGATTATACAAAAGTAACATAATATGATATTAAATACAAAATAAAATTGTCAGAATATATATACTTGTGAGTTGTCTCACATCGTCTATATAAAGAAGATAGGCATAATTTATAAGCACAATGAGTTACTTCTCCTACCATCAATTGATTTTGAGATAAAACCCCAGTAAGGCCTATCCAGCCTCACTCTACTTTGGTGCGCTTCACATTCGTTGGACCGCACCCGTCAACTCCCGCCTCTTTATGGTATCAGAGCCGGTTCTTTTAGGGAACGTGCGATGACGTACTCGTTTATCCGACCCGTTTCTAGTAGGGCTTGGGCACCCGAATCCATATTTGGGCTTAGGATTTTCTTAAGAAGAACTCACAAGTGAATGGGCGTATTATAATATTCACTTGTGAGCTGTCTCACATCGTTTAGTTTAGTGAAAAATATGCCTAATTTATATGTCTAGTGGGCTAACTGCACCTATCAAACCTCGTTTCTTCATGGAATCTCATTTTGGCTTCATCTAGGTTTTCTTTGTCTTCGTGCGCTTCATCTGTGTAGGACCGCACCTATTTTTTACATGTTACGTACATGGTATAAGAGCCGGTTCAGCCAGCCCAGCTAGGCTTGGCCATTCGTGGGACCGTGCAATAACGTACCCGTCACCCAGCCCAGTTGGACTTGGACCTCATATGAAGGACATACAAGTGAGGGAGCGCGTTAAAATATACACTTGTGAGTTGTCCCACATCGTATATACAAAAAAAATAGACCTAACTTATAAGCCTAGTGGGCTACTCCTGCTACCACCAATTGATTTTGAGATGGAACCCCACTAAGACCCATCTAGGTTGACCCTATTTTGGTGCGCTTCACGCTGTGAGACCGCACCCGTCAACCAGGGGCAGATTTAGACAGGGGCCCGTAGTGGCACGGGCCCCTCTAGAATTTTTTCAATAATATAGTATATATATGTTATATGTATATATGTGTTATTATTTTGACATAAAATAATACATATTATTAAATATTAGCAAAGTTATTTCAATATATATGAAAAAATAAATGTTTAGAATGATTTAACCTTCAATAGTATGTTACCAGTACAATGCCCGTGTATTACACGAGTGCTTGCTCATTTTATTTCTTAAAATCTAAAATTAATGAGAAAAAGTAGTTGAAAATTTAAATATTTTTTTTTTAAAATATATATATATATTATTATATATTTAATATGAGACTTTTTATTTGAGCGATTTATTTGTGTTATATGATAATAATTTTTTTAACTTTCAACATATAACTACATTAAACATAAATATATCAATTGAGAACTAATTTTATTTTTCCAATGAATTTTAATAAATATTATTATTTTTTATTATTATAAAGATAAATATAATTTATTTATTTTATATATACAATATGGATGTCAAATCGAAGATCATCAAAAAATTATTAATTTTGATATATGATATATGTAAAACCGATAAAAAAAATTATTAACTTTTATAATATATTTACAATTCAATAGCTAATTGAAGCGAGCAAATCAAAAGTCATGAATATATTAGTCAAATAGTGCTCACTATGTAAAATTACAAAGAATTAAAGGGATATATTAATACAAGTGATATTGAAATACCAAAGTTAGCTAAATAATATTTATGGAATGTCCGAACCTAAATTATTAATTATTAATATATCAATATTGTTTGTCCAAACCTAATTACGAAGAATTTTGCTATTTTGCCACCCTCCATTACAACATGGTTTACAACCATGTGTAATGGAGGCATTGAAAAATGTGCATTATGCATTTTTCAATGCCTCCATTACACATGGTTGTAAACCATGTTGTAATGGAGGGTGGCTATGTAGCGTCACCCAATTACGAAGCATGATTCTTCGCCAAGTAGGATTCCGATGCACCAGAAGCAGCCACGTAGGTTCAGCGTATTCAGGAATTATATCTAGGAGGAATTTTTCAAAGTTTTGGAATTTACATGTACTCAATTCCTATTCTTAATATTGGGATGTGAAACTCAATCCCAACTATTAAATAGGAAACAAAGTGCTTGGTCAATATTTAATCTTTTTTATCTTTTTAATTAGTTAACTATTAGTATTGATTTGATCGTTGACTGTCGAGATTGACTGTTAACCGTAGTTTGTGCCCCGTTGTCTTTAAAGTCTGCGTTCGCCCCTGCCGTCAACCCCCATTTTTTCAAAAAATTTTAGTTGAATTAAATTTAATAAACTTATATTATTAGAAATGAGATCAAATAAATTAAACAACACAGACTATATTAAAATTAATTCAACTAAAAAATTTTTGGTAGTGATATAGCTCATGTGACACATTACTCCTGTTTTTGCTAGTTATTTATGTTTTTTCTTTTTTTTTTTAAAGAAAATATTAAACTAACATGCATTGTGAAAAAATGTTCACACTAATCACTTTAACGACGCCGTTTGGTCCAGAATGACACTAGTTATTTTGGAGCCATTGTTGGAAGAGTTGCTAATCGCATTGCTGGCGCCAAGTTTACTCTAAACGGAACTGTTTACAAACTCGATGCTAATGAGGGGAATAACATGCTCCATGGTACATTTATTTATGGAAGATACTAAGGTCCAGTTCGTCGAGGTTTGTAACTGTTAAATCAACTATTTCTGACGGTTACATGATGATTTAACGGTTAAAAATCTCGACGGGATGGTTCCGTAACGGGACCTTAGAATTTCTCTTTATTTATTATTATTATTATTTTTTTTCCCATTTTCCCTTAAAATTTCCTGTTAAATATTTTATTTATATTACATTTTTGGTTGGAACAAATATTTTACCTCTTATTTCTTTTTTCCCAATTTTTGCATGTTGTAATAATTTTGCACGCAGGTGGTAAGAAGGGATTCAGCCAAGTGGCTTGGAAGGTGAAGAAACATGTCAAACGTGGTCAATCTCCCTACATTACCTTAACATATCACAGTCATGATGGTGAAGAAGGTAACTAACTAAATTTAACTAGCCAAAACAACTAACCAATTCTAGTTTCCTCTTCTTAGCAGCATAACGAGCCTGGCTCGGCTTGGCTCGAGGCCTTAACGATCTGAGCTCAAGCTCATTTACACCTCGTTTGGTTGACGAGGCGAGCTCGACTTGACTCGAAAAGAGAATTTTTATACAATTTTTTTATAGTTTGACTTGTTCAAGCTCGAGATCGGCTCGTTAAGACTCGAACTTAGCTCGTTAAGACTCTGACTCATTTATTTAACAACTCGGCTCGACTTGGTTACAGGCCTAGACAACATATGATATCTTACTAACTTTCCCCTTAATGTTATCGACAGGCTTTCCCGGCGATGTCGTGGCATCCGTAACTTACGCTCTTCTCGAACCCTACAAACTAAGCGTAAAAATGAAGGCCCGGGCCCTTAACAAGCCCACACCCGTAAACCTGGCCCAACACACCTACTGGAACCTCGCCGGCCACGACTCGGGCAACATACTCTCGGACGAGCTCCAAATATTCGCTTCGTACTTCACGCCAGTCGGGAAAGGCCTAATCCCGACCGGCGAAATCTCCACAGTCGAGTCCACTCCGTACGACTTTCTCAAGGCCCGCGTGATAAAGGGCCCGATCAAGAACCTTCCGGAAGGTTCCAAAGGGTTCGACATCAATTATGTGGTTGACGGGCCCAATGGGCCGAGAATGAAGCCCGTGGCTGTTGTCTATAGTAAAAATTCGGGGAGGGTTATGAAGCTTTCGGCCAATGCACCGGGCGTGCAGCTCTACACGGGTAATTACGTGCACGATTTGAAAGGGAAAGGCGGGTTCATTTACCAGCCTCACTCGGCTCTGTGTTTGGA